CCCCCCCAATGTTCAGCACAAAGTTACGCAGATGGGAGGAAGAAAACAGCGAAAATCCAAATCTACAGTTACAGACTGTTCGAAATAACCAGCAAAAAATACAAAAGATTTCAAAACCAAACACTGTGTGATAGTAAAACAGATGCTTTAGGTGCGCAGGTGTATTTGTAGATCGACAGATGATGAGTGCTTGGTCTAAACTTCTACTTTCACTTCATATTTGATGCAACATGATCTTTATCTTGTAAATAATGGCCCGCAATCACGATCATGATTGCGTGAGTTAGTGCAGGCGTGTTCCTGGGATTCCTTTTCTAACCCTCCTTAATCTTCATTTCTAGTTTCGTGCTGCTAAAATGGGGATGCATCTGTACTCACTCCCAACGTCTCACATATGGACAGTTGATCAAGACCCGTCAGCATCAGCATAACATAGTTTTTCTACAGGTAAAGACCGTGAACGTCTTCTTAAACTTCATCAAACAGCGAGTAAAAAACCAAGCAAAACGAAGCTTGAGACCTGAGCCACAGTCCCCCGGTTCCCTTTCTCCTGTGTAGGCTTTATGGCTCCTTTTACGCAGGAGCATTTGCTCAGATTTGATCTCATGCAAATGAGATTGGGTTTTAATTACTTGCTCTTTATGGCCCCTCAGGCTTGTGAAAAATAACTGTCTGAACTGAGTAGTCTGGGTGTCTCGTGCACATTCTTACATAGTCAGGATTAAGAGAAGATCTCTTAGTGAAACATTCACAGCACTTCAGCTCACGTCTAGATTCTGCAAGTGCAACCAGCTCAAACGTTTTTCTGGGCTCGCAGATCAAATCAAAGATTAGCCTCGGAGTGTCAGGTCTTCATCTTCAGCAGACATCAGACCAGCAGCTCTCTGAAGCTGTATTTGACCCATGCATGAAGTGCCTGATGAGGCTGTTTGAAGTTAATCCAGCACATTTCCAACCACAGCTTCTCTGCCTGAACGCGCTGCTGACAAATACAAGACCACAAATTAATTTTGTTAATCAAGTTATTAAGTAACAACAATGAAAACACCACCAAACAGTCTACAGGCACACTAACAACTCTGAAAAGGTTACACTTGTTTCTCCCTGGTTTTACAAACCTCCAATTAATAATGAACAAGTTCTCATGTAAACACCACCATAATGGCTTTAAGTGAAGCACACATTCATAGCATTGCATGTGTAAATATAACTTATTTATAGGAATAAAAGGAACAAAGCATGCTTCATTTCAGGACACACACAGCACTGAGACGTTCTCTGCAGAGATGAGATAACCTGCTGGACGTGACCTCAGCTGATCCCTGCAAATCAGGCCTTTGCTTCAGCACAGCAGTGAGACTGAAGCCACTGTGGGTAAAACACTCGTGACAGCCTGCTTGGAGTTTGTCAAACTGCATTTAAAGGACAAAGTGCAAAGAGATTTGTTGATTTGATGAGACACAAACTCCCAGGCACTGATCATCACTCAGTGAACCCACTGGTGCAGCTAAGCACGGTGGAGGCATCATCATGCTATAGGGGTGCGTCTCAGCAGCACAAACACAGAGACCTGAGTGGGTTCACCTTTCAGTACCACAGAGACCTGGAGTAAACCGACCAGACAACACTGGAGTGCCTTCAGCTGCAGCGTCACAGGTAAAGTCCAGACTTTACACCCAGAGCCTCAGTGCACCAGCACAGGCAGCATTTTAAAGGTTTACGTAGCCATAGTTAACAGTCCTGCTGTCAAACTTAGTGTTAAGTTAAAGGTTAAGCTTGGCCAATGACATTACCCAGATTTATTAAACTTTTGATTCCACATGGTCCCGAATTTACAAAGACTTAAACCTGGCGATTAAAGAATAAAGTCTTCAGAGAAGTGTCTTGATGCATTCTCAACCATCCAGGAAAGCAAATCTCCAAAAGTTGATTCTGTTCATCTGGACGTAGCGCTTTGTGGGAGAAACGTTTCTGAAGGAACTGAAGGACCAGCGGGCTGGGAGGTCAAACCTCCCAGCCCGCTGGTCCTCAGTGGGCTGTTTCAGTCATTATGCAAATGTACTGTTTATAAGACTGGAGAAACCTGCAGACAGCTGAGACTGAAGAAGTCACCTGGGTGAGTGACGAAACGTTTCTCCCACAAAACGCTACGTCCAGATGAACAGAATCAACTTTTGGAGATCTTCAGAGACGTGTTTTTGCAGCCACGGGCTTCACCTCCTGCTGACCATCAGAGAGACTACAAGGCACATCTACAGTAGCCTCAGTTTTTAGACACAGAAATCATCTTTCATACTAAGGTTCTGAGGTTCTGTGAGGAGAATAAGATACACTTCTTACCCAAAATACTGGAAACTACCACTGCTGCTAGAGAAGCTTCTACAAAAGACTAAATTAGTTTTAGAATACTTTTTAAACAGCAAAAAGGAGTGTTTGATTTTTACATAATATTAATAATAATAATAGAATTGCAAAAAGCAAGAAACACTGACTGAGACTCATTGAAAAAGATGTGAGTGTAAAGTGAAGGGATGTGAATACTTTATGAATCCTGGACGTGTGTGTGCAGCTCACTCACTGCTTTTCTTTCTGCCTCCTCATCCTTTACAGAAACACACACACACACACACACACACACACACACACAACCACACACACACACACACACACACACACACACACACACAGTCAGATAACAGCCTTTAGCCTTCAGTCATCAGAGCTTCTCTCTCAGCTATTGTCTGGGTTCACTCGTAATATCTGGGTTAGGGATTTGTGTACATGTGCGTGTGAGCAGGAGTGTGTGTGTGTGCATACAGTAAAGGTGTGTGTCTACATCTCCACAGTGATATAACAGAGAGCAGGTCATCCCAGCAGCCATCACATCTCATTTACCCACCCTCCTCCTCCTCGTTCTCCTCCCTTTCTCACCCCCCTCTTTGTTTATCACTCTCTCTCTCTCAGACCCAAAACACACCTGCAGAAGCTCACTCACCTTGGTCCGAGTGAGACGGCAACCCATTCTGCCTTTGCCCTCGGACAGGTCAGAGTTAGGAGGAGCAGAGAGCAGAAAATGGTGGGAAAATGATGAGTATGACAGGAAAAGAAAAGGAATAAGATGGAGAGATCAGATGAAAGAAACTGCAGAGGAGAGGAAGGAAAAGGGCAGAAGAGGGTTCAAAAGCATGAGAACGAAAGACAGCGAGAGAATAGAAAGAAAGAGAGAGAGAGAGAGAGTTTGTTGAGCCTCGTCCGCCCACCAGCTCACATCTCCAAACTCTGAAAACCCACAATCCCTGGCTAATCAGCTGTCCTCCTGTGCTGCTGAGGAAACTACAGCTCCCATGATGCTGCGGTGTAAACAGCAGCAGCAGCAGTCGGTGGGAAGCAGGTCCATCGCATTAAACCCCTCTCTCCTCAGGAATGAGAAATAATCATGGGCGAGCAAACTGCAGCAGGAGCAGCACAAAGCGGGACGAGCGAGACAGAGGAGAATGAATGAAAGAGAGAGAGAGCGGTACATGTAAAGAACAGAGCTGTCTTCATCTGACTGCTTCTTCCCTTTCTCTCTGTGTTCTTCTCTCTCTCTGCAGCTCGGCTCCTGCTGGCCAATCACAGTGGCTGGATGCAGGAGGAGGGAAACATTTGCTCTGATTGGTCAAAGGAAGTGTCAGCTGAAGCATCCATTCAACGTTTTTCTCTCCCCTCTGCTCCTCGCTCTTTCTCTCGTTCTCTGTATTTTGCTGGTCTGTCCTTGTTTCACTCCCTCTTCTTCACACGGTGCTTTTTCTCTCATCCCCATCTGTCTCAGAAAGCCCACAGCATCGAGTGTGTGTGTGTGTGTGTGTGTGTGTGTGTGTGTGTGTGTGTGTGTGTGTGTGTGTGTGTGTGTGTGTGTGTGTGTGTGTGTGACTCCACCAGACCCTTTTTAGCCTTCATAACTCACATGTTCAAAAATGAAAGTGCACTTTGATGTCCTGTAATATGGACGTTATTTAGCATGAACGTACATTTTGCACAGCTTCGTTTCGAATGTTAAAGTTGCTGTTAAAATAAAAGCTGGACAGAGAACACAGTCCAATCCCGTTTGAACACTACACCTTAATCAAAAAGATAATATAAATAGATATATATTTCTAAATAACCCAACATAATGGAGATCCTGGTAATCTGATCCCATGCTGCTATATTTGGTGATAGAAACATGGAATTTCTTTCTAGCGTCATGATCAAGCTTTCAGTCCGAGTTCAACATTTTAGTTCATTTTTTTGTTTGTTTGTAAGTTATATTATAATTATTACCTAGTTTCAGATTTCCTGCGCTCCTGTCTTTCCTCTATTTGTCTCTTAAGTCTGTATTTCTTTGTTAGACCTGCTGTTACTTCCTGTTTTACTTTGTTACCCTCTCGTCTCGTCTCGTGTAACAAGACTGTTTAGTTTTGCTTGTATTTTCTGCTGTGTGTGATTTCCCCGCCTGTTTTCCCTTCCCTGATCATTTCAGTGTATTAACAGCCTCAGTTTGTGGTAGTTTTCCTCTTACTTTATGCACATTGTTTCCTGCCTGTTGTTGGATTTCAGTTTTATTAACTTTGTCTCCCAAATCTGGATTTTGGATCTGATTTTTCCCGCTACATCTGACTGAAGGATCCTGAGCCAGTGTGTGGTTGAAAGATTTTACCTACACATGATCAGAGTCTCCTACATGCACAGCTCGGGTTCTGGAACCAACTAATGACTGAGAGGTAAACAATACACGATACAATAAACACAAGTGACCAAGGAAAGACAACTTTTAACAGGTTTTACAATATCAAAAGTGCAAAAGCTCCAGACACAGACATCACAGCAAACAGGACCAGACTGCTTATACACTGAGAGGCTGACTAAAAGCGAGACACAGGTGAATACAATCAATTAAGCAAAAAGGAAGAAATAAAACTTATGTGAGGCATAAAAGGAAACTAACTTTCAAAATAAAACAGGAAATACACAAGTGAACTAATACGGACGTAAATGCTAACATGTCAGAGTAGAAAACAGGAGAACTGAGATATTAACACAAACATGAGAGTGAGTGAGGAACAGCCTCAGAAACAGATGAAACTAAAAACTAACAGACATAAAACAAAACTCAGGAACTAAAATTCATCAAAACCATTGAAGGAAAAGAGCAAAGTCTCAGTGATCTCTCAATAAACACGTTTTGCAATCTACTAGAATAAAGAAAACCAAAGAGGAATGTTAAATCTAGCAGTCTAATTACAAGGGTAAGAGCTCGTGGCAGAGGTGCGGTTTATGGCTCTGCTGGCGTCGTGGTGGTCACGTCAGACCCATAGCCTGCACAGCTGGTTCAATTGCTTGTGTAGATGCTGGCGGCCATACACAGGGAGCAAGCAGTGGCAGAGGCAACAGCTGAACAGACTTCAGGACCAGGCCGAGCACCAGACGCAGGTGCTGGTTGGGGTCACCGTGCCACCGCCCCCTCCTCTGCTGGCAGTGACGACGCACCGGATGGGGAGGGCGACAACCCACAGTTATTCCTGGAGACCATCCAAGCCATTTCAGAGCGTGCCAGTGTCCCACGGCAGAATGGGCGCCATGGCTGCTGCTGCTCTCTGGGAATGCTCAGACAGCAACTCTGAGCTTGCCGCCAGCCTCGCCGGGGACCTTTGGAGACATCTGACGGGACATTTTGGATCGCTTGGGCCTTTCCCAGGAAAACCGCTGCTGGCGGTTCTGGGGTTGTTAGATGACAGCAGAGGACCAGACACTGTTTGTGGAAGGGTGTCCCAGAAAAATGGCAGATCCTGGGCCAGTAAAAAATGAGATTCAGTACATCCTGGACCTTAGACAAAGCTGCACACAATTGGGAAGGTTGTCACTGAAAAATGTGCTCCAGGCCCAGAAATGTCAGCAGGGCCTCTGCAACAGAGAGGCAAATTTCACCAGGAGATAAACTACTTGTATTACTGCCTTCTTCAAGCTCAAAGTTAGTCACCAAGTGGCAAAGACCCTTTGTGGTCACATGGTGAGTGGGCAACATACAGACAGGGGTGGAGCCACACAGATATATCACCTTCATCTCCTGAAAGCATGGAGAGAGGCCAAAACCACTTCTCTGGTCTGGTGTCCTGGTGAAGGAGAGAGATGAGCTGGGGCCACAGATGCCAAGGTTACCTGAGCATGAAAGGCAAATCTTCCAGAGAGAACTGGCTGAAATGCTGAAAATAGTTCTTATAGTTCTTGTAGTGAAGAAAGGTAGGTCTATATGCTTCTGTGTCAACTACTGCAAGCTAGATTCCCTTGTCTGCAAATTCCAAGGAAAAAACAGCGTGAGGTTTGGACCTGTTTGTCAAACTTTCGTTTGGCTTGTTCCCACATGGACCATGTGCTCTGTGCCCACTCTGCAAAGCTTCTTAACTGAAACACAGGGCTGGGTGCCGTTTGGTCCCAGCAGGTACGGGGGATCGCCACCTGATCCTGTACACCAGCTGGAAACTGACAGGGCAGGAGAGGAAATACAGCACAGTGGAGAAAGAGTGCCTGGCAATCCGGCCGGCGGTGGACTGTCGTCGTTCGTTCCTCTCACACCCAGACTGATGTGACTGTGTCAGAGCAGGACTGAGGTCTAGTACAGCTGCATCAGCAACTATGATCAGATCAGCTCATTACAGCGTTCGTTATAGAAATATACGGGAGTTCAAGGTTCAAGGTTCTGTATTCGTTTTATTATTATTATGATTTTATATAAAATCTTATGTTCTTTTTTATATTCACAGAAACAGAAGTCCAGGCTTCTTTCACCAACACCTCAAAAACATGTTGCTCAAAGTCCTGCTTATTCTTTATTTAGCAGTGACCGTTTCATTTTAAATAAGAAAGTAGAGTTTACACAAATTAGAGAACTAAAGAATAATCTTTTTTAAAAGGACAAAGCAGAAAGAAATGTTTCATAACCAAAATTGGTAAAGCTTGTCTTATACAGATGGTTTCGTTTCCATGTTTCCTTCTTCATCCTTGTGGAAGACTTCTCCTTCTGGCTGCTTCCTCCAGCTCAGTGCGAGATCTCCAGCGACTCCCTGGTCCTTCAGCGTCTGTTTGAGCTGGGACACAAAAATGTGATTTGCAGAATATGACAGACAAAATTATTCACTAATGTTTGCTATTCACTCTTTTTTGCTGCTGCATAAGTTTGTTGTTATCAGGTATATGAAAGTTAAAGCAGCTTAAGGTTTGTTTCACCATAACGCTGGAGGTGACCAGTTACCTGTTTCAGCATGGCATCCATCACATCATCGTCATTCAGATCCAGACTGTTTTTCTCCAGCCTCAATCTCACCACTTGCTTGTAGGTAGGCGCTGATTAAAGAACGAGGGATACTCGGGGTTAGAAAACAAAGGATGGGCAGCTTACGTCACCTGCTTTTCCTGCTGCCCTGAGTTTAGTTCAGGGTGTCAAACTCATTTCACATGGCGGGCCACGTACAGCCTCCTTTCAGATAAACTCTCCTTTCTGTCAGTGACAAAGAAAGAAATCGCTCATCGTTTTTCTGACGCTCCAGATGTTGATCTCGCCGCTTTGACTTCCCATTTAAAGAGTTTGATCACAAATCTCAGAGTAAAAGTTGATTCTGCACTTTGACGGTCACGTAAACGAGGTGGTGAAACAGCACCTCAGACGCTTATCGGAGGTTAAGCCCTTTATTTATTATTCACGCCTTTATTACTTCACATTTGGATCATTGCATTTCTCTTTCAATGGGGGTTGGGCAGGACACTTTGTCACGCTTGCAACTAGTGCAAAATGCCGCAGCACGATTTTTAACTGGCAGAAGGAAATTCGACCACATGGCTCCGGTTTTGGCCTCTCTACATTGGCTTCCAATTGAATTAAGGATCCGTTTTAAAGTCCTTTTATTGATTTTTAAATCTCTAAACGGTCTGGCACCTGTTTGATTGTCTGATTTGTTGAGGCCTCATGTCCCTATTCGCTCGCTTCAGTCAGCTGAGCAACTGCTGCTTTCAGTCCCAAAGTCACGGCTACAACTTAGAGGAGGCCGAGCGTTCTCTGTTGCGGCTCCAATGCTTTGGAATAGCCTTCCTCTCCATATCAGACAGGCTCCATCAGTGCCAGGTTTTAAGTCCAGATTAAAAAACTATTTTTATTCGCTGGCTTTTAACTCTGTGGGTGACTTTTAAATAAATTTTATTGCTATGTCTGATTTTTGCTATTTTATTACTATATTTGTATTTGTATTGTACAGCACAAGTGCCAATGATGATGATGATCCAGCTGTTTTCACGGTTGTTGCAGTCATGTTGGCAGACAACGGCCGACAGGATATCAAACAGGTTTGATTTTCTATGACTAAATGACTGATGATCAGGAGCTGGTCGTGAAGTCTTAATCGTTACCCCACGTACACAACACGATGCACGACACACGATTAAGGCGAAACTCGGGCCGATCCCCAAAAAGCTCAAAATGGACCAAAAGCCACACAGTGGATGCCCAGCTAAAGTTTCACAAAGTAATTTACATGGAAGCTTTCTGTGGTTTCCAGTAGCACATTTAAAAAAGACACGTGGACAATCTGAAAAGAACATATTGAAATGAGTAGTAG